TCTAATAAAAATGACGTTTAGCCTATTTTTACTCATCGTTGTTTCTTCCCTGGATAACGTGGCTAGCTATTGGTGTCCTTTAGCAGAAATAAAAATGCTGCTTTTTCCCACCTATTGTGGACTTATGTCTTGGTTTGGTGACAGCAACCTAGGGTTATGTCTATTGCTCCAACATAACTTTCAGTTTAGTATTTGCCGCTCTAAAAATGTCATAGTTTGGACAATAAATAGTTATGCTCCTGGTGTGATATATTTGTGAGGTCTTTCTAGGAACCTGAAAAACTTCTACATAGCTCTGCCTTGACCTTTTCTCACAGTTTCTTTTCCTAACTTCAGCTCACACTGTCAGATGTCTACTCTATAGCCTCTTGTAGCTCAGATCATGGCCTGGGAGGTGGATGGGGAACATTAAGTTAAGTTGTCCCAAGTTCATTGTACAGAAGCTTCTGCTGGACTTCTGCAATGTTTGATCAACCACAGTAATTATTTTGTCATGAAAAATGTTGCGAATCCAGATTATTCTGCTGTCTCTTCTTTCATTGCCCTGCCTTCCAGGTAATGTTGCTGCAGCCAGTGATATGAGGAGAAAAGATTATATTCCTTTTCTTACAATCATTCCTCGTCTTCACATGACTCTCTTGCATACCTTTATTTGCTTGCAAAGGGGAAGTTTCCTGCCCCTCTTCCTCTGATGGGAAAAGGGTCAGGAGGATTAGGATAGGCTGTTTTCTCATTGTATGTTCTGGGAAGATGATGGCCCCTACTGTATACTCTCCCTAGTCCTCATGTTATATGTGCAGTACATTTAAGATCTTTAAAGAAATATTAGAATATCATGTTTAAAAATGACCTAGAATTTTGAAACAAAAGCTGTTGTATGTGCATGAAGAACAGCTGGTAATTTTCACTGCCTATATGCCCATACTTTTGTCTATCAAGGGTATGGCTGCCTCAGTCTTGAAAAATTGAAAACCTTTAAAAAGGAAATCTATGAAAGTTGGATGCCTTTAATAGTTACCATACTAATACCAATGTCAACTGGCATGAAAGCTGATGCTTTAAGGTAACAAATAACATATCTAAGCTGTTGTCTTTACTCTTTTGGATTTGGTATAAACTTCCTCCCTTTTATTATTGCTAAAACATCCATAGAAGCTGTGTGTTTCATTGTACAGAAGCTTCTGCTGAATTTCAGGGATATATACACCACTTTATTAAAAACTACTCTGCAGTGAATTGGAAAAGTTACCATTCCCTACACAGGCCCCACACTTCACACTATTGAGCTGTTCGTCCTACCTCAGCCTCCACTTATTGCAATTCTAACTTTATATCCAATGAATGTTTCTGATATCATGCCTTCGATGAATTATTTCCTGGTTTCCTTCTACTTACCAACTGGTAAACTCTTTTAAGACGTGAGCTATAGTGCCTAGAAGATAAAATTTCACTTTGAAGATAATAGAAAAACAGTGGGCATTTGTTGAATTAAATCAGTAAAAGTCTCTAACTGATTTAATAGTGTTGGATTTTATGAAGGGTGAAGCTTTTCACTTGAGAATCGAATTGAAATGTATTTTTGCTGTATGTGAAGGCAAAAACTGAGGATATATGACAGAAATTAACATATATGCGGTCCTTAAAAGTTATAAGATTATCTCACAAAACCGGTAAGCATATAGGGCAAACATTATTATTTCCATTTTACAGGTGAATACACTGAGACCGAGAAAAGTTAAATTAATTTCCAGGGATGGCGGTTATGAGTGGAGGAACCCACTTTTTTTTACTGCAGTCTTTCTTTGTCCATAATATCACTGCACTGTAGGAAAGGGAAGTGGAAATTTCTATATCTGATCAACTGACAAATATAAATTCTAATAATTACTATACATATTAAACAGTCTTCTCGAAGCCCATTCCAAGGTCATTGAAAGGATATTTCTATTCATCAGGGCTATTCTGGGTCACCAGACAGATTTACCACCATTGTTGTTAACAGGATGGCTCCCAAGAAACCTGATTCATTCTTTACCATTTCAAAAGGAAGCAGCATATTAATTTACAATTATTGTAGAAATTTGGAGGGAGGACAACAGGTTGGGCTAGGTGTGACTAGTCATGGTTCTGAAAAAACAATGGAAGAAAAGGCAAAGGCTCTGGCAATATGGTGCTTTAATTCCCCAAGGTGGCTGGAATTCCTGGGGTGCACACACAGTTCTATTAATGGGTGGGCCCAAGTGGTACTGTGCAGATGCCACTTCCAAGTTCCACCCAAGACTCCCTGTGGGCCAGGGGTGGAAGAAGAATAATTCTGTGGCTTCTGGAAGGTGGAAAATCCTGGGAGAGCAAAATGAAAGGAAGGTGTGTTTTGCCTTTTGCCTGATTATAACAAAGGATTCTGAATTCTCAGTACACACTCATTACAGAGCTTTTCTTGCTTTCAACTTCACAGCAACTGGAGGCCCCTGAGGGAACATTATCTTTGTAAAGCTCCTGAGATAGTTGTACCTCATCCCAGAGGGGCCAGTCATTTGGTATTGAGGACTCTCTTGAAATGAGAAATTACCTAGAAACACCCTTTCTATGCCTTAGTATTTCAGATTACAAACTTGGCATAGACATAAGAAACAACAACAAAAACATCAGTCGTGTTCTAACCCCTGATTTCCAAAGTGTGAGGATAGACTGTCTCCAGTGTGTTAGGAGAATGAGTCAGCTTATAAATATGACTATTCACTATTTTATTTTCCCTTTGAATTATACCAAAAAGGAATGAGAACAGAAGGAGCAACGCTAGTACTTGAACAGGAATAAAATTTATTTTCTGTATTAAAAGAGGAAGAGATGGGCTTTCATAAGGATCACGTATACACTGCTACTCTAGGCTTTAATATTAGTAGCAGTAATTGAGAAAGATATTTTTCCCTTTATTTGATTTTTTTTTTTGTTTAAGAAGAATGTGAATACTTTTGACCATGACAGCCCACCTTTTCCATCCCACTTTCCTCACCCCAAATTTCTGAAATGGTTTTCAATGTATACACTTCTCTCTTTTGAAATGACAGAGGATGAATTAGGTCTCTTGTGAACAAGTCCTGTTAGGAATGATGAGATTCGTGAGCACCAGAATACGCTACTGTAGAAAGTAAGCAAAGGTTTCAGAATTCTTCCATACTTTACACTTCTATCTCTGAGGTATGTGATAGTCTCTAACAGTCCGTTGACTGTATCAATATTTGGCCAGTGCCAAATATCGCCATTATGTGTGATAGTGATAGAGACAGGGGTCAGCCACGTGTCCCCAGTGAAACCCTGCCTTCAAGCCTGAAACACTCTGAAGGCTGAAAAACCGGGCTGCTGGTTCTGGATTAAGCCTACCCTTTCCTGACAGATTCTCTCTAAATAATGCCCACCCATGTACTGGGAGGATGGGGAAGAAGTTTGCGCTGTTTGCAGGAGTGAGGAGCCTGGCTTCTCTGGTTTCCATGTGGTTACCTGGGATTTCAATATGCAAAGCAGGAAACCTGCCAGCAGAATTCTTTGCTGAAAGTTACTTTTTCTTTTTCCTTTTCACCTAATAAATTTCATTCTTCACACTTCTGTGTATCTGTGAGCCTAATCTTTCCTATTCGTGTGACAAAAACTTGGTTTTAGCTGAACAAAGGAGAAAGTTCTACAATAGTGGAGTGTTATACCTAACATCAGTACCAGGGTTTATCTTGGGTTTCAACTATGATAATGTGACCCATATAAAACTCAGAACACTTGTCTTTAAAATAGCAATAAAGACAAGAAACACATTATGATAATATGTTTAAAACAAACTATATCGATTACAACCCTATTCAAGGATTAAAGTGAGTGAAGTTTATTCATAGTTTTCTCCAAAAACAAACAAACAAACAAACAAAAATACTGTAAGAAAACTAAATAAAATCCAGGTTATCCATAACTGGTAACAAGATAATCTCCATGTAGATACAGGTTACTGCCCTGAGATCCAAGTCCCAAATCATTGTCTCTTGATATTAATCTTTCCCTGAGGAAAATATGGCTATATACCTATATAGTGTCCTCAAGATAATCCTGCTCCCAATTTTCACATGCAGATGCCCTAACCTTTTCATAATTCCTCATGCTATAACTAAAATCAATCTGGAACATTTAACTGAGGTTTTATTCACTTGAGGTAGAAAGTCACAAAACTAGAGAATATTTTATGTCGATTGCTCTTTAAGTTTACCTTGTCCCATGTTGGTTTCTGTCATACTTTTGTATGGTGAGTGTTATCTTAACATATTTCAATAATCTATTCCTAATCATAGCCTTCCTTGAAATCCCAAACCAGATTGCTGACATTTTATCCAACTATGCTGGAAATATAAACATTGATGATGAAAGCCAATTATACCCTTGCTTTGATTAAGCATGTTTAAATTATGTTCCTCTCATTTACAGCCAAGTTAGTTTTTGTGTTTGTTTGAGACAGAGTCTCACTTTATCACCCAGGCTGAAGTACAGTGGTGCAATCTCATTTCACTGCAACCTCTGTCCTCTGGGTTCAAGCGATTCTACTGCCTCAGCCTCCCGAGTAGCTGGGATTACAGGTGGCACTGTGCCCAGCTAATTTTTATATTTTTAGTAGAGATGGGTTTCACTATCTTGGTCAGGCTGATCTTGAACTCCTGACCTCATGATCCTTCTGCCTCGGCCTCTCAAAGTGCTGGATTACAGGCATGAGCCACTGCGCCCAGCTGCCAAGTTAATTTTTAACACATATTTCATCTTTTCTCAGCTGAGCCTGACACAGGCTATATCTGTTGACTAAATACCTCCATTAGTAGTCATACTGCTATTTCATACATTTGTAAATGACATGCTTTTTTTTTTTCTGTGACAAAATCTACAAAAGAAATGGATACAGAAAACTTTTTCGTGGTTCGTTGCTCCATTCTCTAAAAACTGTTTCCAAAAGAAGGGCCAAAAGTAGGATTAAGTAAGTTTTTGTCATTATTTATTAGCTATAAATTCATTACAAAATTAACTCTTACATATATTTAGAAATATGTCAAATCATAAAGAAATCATATTATTTAAAATATTGTGTGTTAAATTATATTTTACAATTCCAGAATATTCAATACAAGAATTAAACCCAGATATCTGGTTATGTTTATATAACAAAAAATATAGATAAAAATATGAAAAATATGTTGAGAAATATACTCACACTACGTATTTGTAGCTTGCAAACCAATTCTATTTGGTTTAGTGAAATACAAAGAAAAACATCAGAATTCAATATTATTCTCATGTGAATCTTTTGGTAAAGTGAAACACAGGTATAATTACATACCTGATCTTACAAGCAAGATGTAATATTTATCAAAAATTATCACTGGATATATTAATTCTATACTTTTCTCCACATCTATGCTGCAGGTTAGTTGTTAAACCATCTGTCATACTTTCTTTTAAAAATCATTTTATTGAATTAAGTCAAATAGATAAATTTTTTCATTAATTCATATTGTTCCTTTTCCTCAAATTTTTCAAAATTATAGTTTAGCATCACTGAAATCTTAAATAATCTTACTTACTGAACGTCGCCTTCATAGCTGAAGCTTAACAACATCCTATTTTTCCCAGATAGTAAAGGGATACAAGTATGATTTATTTTCAGATGATAGAGGACACTGGTAAATTTAACAAATTAAAAAAATTGATACTGGATTCTAATTTTTATATGTGGCCAGTTAAGACAGTGGTATACCTAGAAGGCACAGGACCCTAAGCCACTTAACATTTGAAAGCCTCATTAATGTACCCTAGAGAAGGGAAAGAACCATTAAGCCCTAAATGCTGAAGACATTAGTCTGACCATACACATCATGCAAAAGAAGTGCAAATACACAGGATTAAGGTTACAAAATAGGAGAAGAAAATCTACTGTTAGGGAATTATAAGCATAATATAAAAATAGTTATCACAATCACAAAATACTTAGTTTTTATTTCCCACTATAGCTTAAAATATTAACTGTGGTTTACTAGAGAGACATGGTAAAACCATACAAGTAAAATGTATACTCAGGTGAGAGGAATTTTTAGTTTCTGAAAAATAATTTTCTATACATAATTTAAATGGATATTAAATATTTATAGACATGATTTCAAGAACATGTGGTAATTGTCTTCCATAATACCATTCATAATATAAGCCAGGAAATCTTATCGCATTTAATCCCTAATGTTCTGTAATATCTTTAAACTGGGCTGAAACTAAGTTTCATTTAAAAGCCATCAAAAGCTATGACATTTTATGTGGTTTTGTTTTGTACACCAAAAGCATTGTGCTAAGTTTGGGTGAATCCTGATGGTACCTGACACATGATAAGGCACACAAACATCAAAAAATAAGCGTTTGTTAACAGATACATTTTCTCTTGCAGCTTGATTATTAGACTTTCAAAATTAGTTATACTGCTTTCTCAATTCCTAGTGTAGTAAAGTACGATAATTCTAATTTTTAAACATCTTATTCTAAAAAGAGACAAATTTCACCAACCAGGGGTACAGACACTAGAATGTAAAAGGCACATTTATTTATTTATTTTACTTTTTAGAAAATGGATTGTGTTCTACTGATTAAAGTACTCCAGATAATAATATTAATTGCTATATTGGATTCTTCTTCATAAATTATTCTAAAAAGTGGGCGGTAACAAAACTTTATAAAACAGACCTTTTGTTCACATCACCAAAATAAAGCAACAACCAAACAGCAACAACAATGAAAGGCATGTCTTTGTTACAAAGAATCCTAAGCAATACACTTGACCTATGAGATATTGATTGTGCAAGGTTACTTATTGAGATGTGGAAAAGAGAAAAATGAGAACAGGTTTCAACATGGAGGATTTCATCATTAATTGAAGTTTGTCCAAAAAACACAGGTGCACATGCAGGATGTGTAAATTACTCTGGGAATGACAGGGATATTGGGAGATGGGAAAGAAGAAAACTAGCATAAGCACGAAAAATATATTGTTTCAAATTTAGAAATATTAAGTACTTGATGTCAATATTTACATTCAATCTATCCACACTTATTTAAAAAATTAATATGTATCTATTTTTAGATGAAAATTATTTGCACATTGTTAGACTGAGTTAACTGCAAAATGGACTCTTACTAGATGTGATCAGAGCAAAGATTTCTAATGTTAACTTCAAATGGCTTATATTTTTCATTGTTATTAATTGTACATAAGTTCACCTTACATGGTATTTGCAGTGCCTATCTAAAGGCTTCTCTTCAGTTTCTTCAATGACCTGAAATTGCCATGTTGGAGTAAAGCTGATAGGACCCAGCCTCAATTCTTAGAATATTAGTTATTATCTAGTCCAGCTTCTGCATTCTACAGCTTGGAAACTAAACCTTCACAAAAGGGAAGTCATTTTCTCAAAGTCATAGCAGATGAGTCGGTCTAAGTCTCATGATGGTGGCCACAGTGTCTAAATCACTTGCATTTTATCATCATCACGTAGCATTGTGCTTGGTACAAAGCATGCATTAGGTATTCTAGATATCTTAGGAGGAGTGATCAATGAAAAAATGAATATGTGAATGAATGAATGAATGAGGCAATGGCTGAACTAGGTTAGTCTGTTTTCAGCAATAGGAGTTTGTCAGCATCTGGGTAGTTTCAGATGATGGCTAGTTTTATTAACAGTCCCTCAAAATGTTCTTGGAGCCATGTTGGTTAAAGAAACAATGTCGGGTACATATAGAAACTGATACACCATGAGGCATTTAAAAATAATTTAAGTTCTTTGTAATTTTAAAGTATATCTGTGATATTGCTTCTTAGTGGAGTTACAGTTGTTTTAAGAGACTGTCAATGCTACCGTGGGGTGCTGAACTTTTTGAACTGCCATGAACATAACATTATACACATCCATATTATGTCTTCAGTAGTATCGGTGATGGGCAAAGACACTTGTTTCTACCCCACCCTAAGCTATTTGAATATGCAGTGGCAAGTAATTGAAGTAAAAATAAGGCTCATTCTACAGGCAGTTTTCAGAAATGACAAAGAGGGAGAAAAGTAAAAGGGCTGTGATATTTCAACTATTTAAAAGACGAAAATAGGTTAAACTGGCTATAATTGGAAAAATGTATCTAGGTCTTAAAAAATATGGAAGTAAATGGAAAATACCTTTTCAAGTATAGGGCAAAGAAGGAACGTCAGTAGCAGGTATTGGTGTGTAAACAAGTCAAATTTAGGTGAAAGACGCGAGGATATGTTTCATACGGATTCGTGGAAGCCATGCCCTGCAGATTTAAGTGAGTAATTGAGAGTGACATTTAAACTGGCAGGAGACAGTCTAAGCAATAGCTTCTCTGTTTCACATAGTCAAATTCAAGTGCAAGAGAGGTCTTTGTAAACAGAGTTCATGGCAGTGCTTTGTGGTAAAAGAGGGGTCACTAAGACTGCTTAGGGACCCAGGTAAACTTCCAGCCTCCCTCCTCATCTCGACGCACGAAGGCTTGTCCCTGGTGGAAGGAATGAGTTTTCACATTACAATGAGGGCTCAGGGATGTGGAAAATGCCATCTCTGTCTTGTTGGGTGACACATTAGCAGTATAGTAAGGAAGAGTCTTCAGCCCCACTGGGGAATTTGAAAGCTGAGAAAGGACGTGGAAATCTTCTCCATGAGTAGCAGTGCTATGCAAGGGGGTTGTTCTGTCACCTCTGTAGTCAATTGACATATCCTCTCTGGGGACATTTTTATAATCAACTGCATCATCCGGAAACTGGGAAAATGTGCTGGCAAATCTTCTGGGATGAGATGAGAGGGCACTGTAGTTAGCTGATAAGGTGTCATCAATGGTATCAAGGTCTTTTAACCCAAGTGTTTGAAGAACCCAGGGATCCACAGGGGGCCCAGGTTGTTCTTCACAGTTAGCAAATTCACCAGAGAGGTTTCTTTTGGCATTTTTGGGATGAGGAGTCTCAGAAGGAGAGTATCTTTGCTCTTTGGATTTTCTCTTTCCCTTTCTGAATTTTCCACATGCTTTGGAGAACTCATCAGATGACAGCAACTTCTAAGGAAGTGATATTTGAAAGTTATACCTCTTTCATATATTTACTACTCACCTAAATTATTTAGAAAAAATGATTAAGTTTTTCTTCACAGGCAAGTAAGACTGATTGGATTAGCTTGTTTGTAAAGTAAAATCTATGATGACAAGTTACTGCCTAAAAACTCTAAATCATATTTTTTACTCAATTTTTTTAAATGTTGACAGGACCAGATGATATTTTTAAGATTTCAGTACAGGCAAGTTACTATTATTAAGGCCATAATAGCAATTATCGTTTATTAAGTTATCATTTATAAATAAACTATCATTTACTATAATTTATAAATTGTTGATTAGGTGTAATATCTCATTGGATATAGATGTTACTAAAATCTTCATTAGTGAGGAAACTAAGGCACAGACATATTAATAACTTGCTGAGACTGATCGAGCCTATACATACTAAGCCATCTGAATCTAGAGAGATCCTCTGATTAAACACTATACAACACTGCTTCTTCTTATTTAATTAACTTTCAAAGCACTTCTGAGATATATTATTATGTTATTCTAAATCCTGGAAAATTGAAACCAACAGATAAAACTGCCTAGTTAATATCATTTAATAATGTTAATAAATGTCCTTTTATGGAATGGTGGATGGAGTGAGGAGCCCAGGCTAATAGCTATGACGTATTCTCTTTTTAACAAAGTCAACTGAATTGTAAAGCCATCAAATCTAATGTCTTTTATTCTCTGAACTGCTCTATTTAGCAAGAGTAGCAAGAAGCATAATCAATTTAGATCAAATAATATCAGATAATGTAGCTTGTCTAGAAGTAAGGAAAAGATTGATGGTTAAAGCATTAGTGATAACATAATGTCAAATAGATTTTAAAAAACTGCAAAGCCAAAGAACTGAAGATGAACAAAAAAGGACTATAGGCAAGTTATTTAACCTTGAGTTAGAAATAGCTCATCTTAAGAGTGCAGAAAAAATGTGAATTAAACGATAATGTAATTGTATATGCCGAATTGCCTGATGTAATTTGTGAATGCCAAATCAAGAGATTTGGGCTCCAGCGATATTCAGGACATTTTAGATCTAGCAAAATTCTTCAATGATATTTTAGCCCATCCATTACAGGTGAAGTTGAATGAGGATCTAAGTAAGAGTGATTTGCCTAAAGTCAAACAGATAATTAAAAGAACTGAGTGTCTTTCTGATCTGCTTCCCATGTCAGTATTCCATCCATCTAATTCTACCTTTTGATTAACCCTGATTGTCTCAGCAACCCCCACCCTGACTAGCTTTTGCTTTTTAAGCAACTTATTTTATAATAAATGACTGATATCTGCAATCTAGGTACTTTAGAGAAAAGATATACAAAAATTCTTGTGAAAAAGCCGTATTTCCTCAATAAACACCATCCATCCTATAAATGCATATCAAGATACACTGTTTAATCAAGGAGTTTTACAGAAATCATTTCCTTTTTCAAATCACTGCTTTCTTATAAACTAGATACATACATACCTTGGCCTTTTCTTCAAGACATTTAACCAAAGCAGAATTCAGGTATTGTCTGAGGTGATTATTCTCTTCATGTAATCTAGCAAGTTCTTCTTCCTTTTGCACCAAAGTATCTTGCAGCTGCAAAAAGCAGGCAATGGTGAAGCCTGCTCCACCATATTGACTGTGTAACTTTTTAATAATGCCACTGATGCTTAACTGCCTTAAACTTGATTATTGTTTGCTGTATGGGCACAATCTCAGGGACCCCTCATCTGAGAGGCCTGAATTAAACTTATATCCCCTAACACCTAATTCAGAGCGTTGTGCTCTGAATTTCCATTCATTGCAAAGCATTTGGAGAGATTATAATAGATGTTTAAAATTGTAAGCACAAGGGAATCAGGTAGATATGAAGAAAAATGAGCTGCATGCAACTGTTTAAATATAGAAAATGATGTTTAGGAAGATTTTGCTGGACTCCTTCATTGCATTTTTAAATAAATAAATAAAAATAGAGGTGGGTTGGCTTCTTTCAGCCTCAGATTGAATGTCCACTAAATTAAATTACACTTCAGGGCAAAACTAACACAACATTAAAAAAACAATCTTTGGAAAATATTTTGTAATCACTAACACTTCTCCAAGTCTTAGCTAGGCTTATTGTTTAAAAATACTGTCACATTCATTATATCATTTGATATTTCAAATGCCCTCTGAGATAAGCAGCACAAAGATTACAATTCCAGGATTATGAATAGTTCTATTATAAGGACACATGCACACGAATGTTCATTGCGGCACTGTTTACAATAGCAAAGACCTGGAACCAACCCAAATGCCCATCAATGATAGACTGGACAGGGAAAATGTGGCACATATACACCATGGAATACTATGCAGCTATGAGAAACGATGAGTTCGCGTCCTTTGTAGGGACATGGATGAATCTGGAAACCATCATTCTCAGCAAACTGACAGAAGAACAGAAAATCAAACACCACATATTCTCACCCATAGGTGGGTGTTCAACAATGAGAACACATGGACACAGGGAGGAGAGCACCATACACTGATGTCTGTTGTGGGGTCTAGGGGAGGGGCAGTGGGGGGTGGGGTATTGGAAAGGGATAACATGTGAAGAAATGCCAGATATAGGTGACAGAGGGATGGAGGCAGCAAACCACCTTGCCATGTAAGTACCTATGCAACAACCCTGCATGACCTGCACATATACCCCAAAACCTAAAGTGCAATTAAAAAAAAAAGGGGGAAAAAAGATCACATTCCAAAAATGAGGAAAAAGAAAAGCATTCGGGGTCATATGGCTAAAATGTGTAAAGTGAGAGCTTGATTGCAGGCCTTTCTAGAGGTTTTGGTTGTTTTTCTTTTCTGTGACATTGATCAAATAACTTTGATCTCTCCGTGGACACACACTCACTTTGGTTCTTAACTAAGTCAGTACGAATTTCCAGAAAGAAAAAAAAGCAAGACATGAACGGTAGAGAATAGATCACACAGAACATGATCAGTCTCAATGTTCTGACTTACACATACCTGCTTGTTTCTGTAGAGCTGAGAGGAGAGCTGAGCCTCTTCCCAGGAGCACAAGTCCGGAAGAGGAAAATTTGAGTCACTGAATGATTCTGTGAAAATACAAGTAGATAACTGACAAAATAATCTTGTAGTTTCTGTGCAATAAAGAAACTCATCAAATCAAATCAGAAAGTTTAATAGGTTCAATTATTTTTCTTAAACAGCTATGCTGCCACATGAGAAAACAAAACATTTAAAGTTTTTAGAAAAGGCAAGCAAGCTGTGAGAGACAAATATTTATACACTATATGACAAAAGTATTAAAGAAGTAAATTTTTTAAGTGGTAAGGGTCATATTCTTGCCTATTATATGTATTCCTGCTGGAAAAATTAATAAAGACCATCCAGTCTTTGTCACTAATTTGTTCAAATACTTATTGATCTCCCACACCCACTGGACATAACATTGCAACTGCATTATATTTTTCTAGTTTTTATCTTATTTTCTAAGCTTTAGCACTTGATAATACGCTGCTTGGCTCTACAATTAAATCCTGGTCTGTGATGCTACCAGTTTCTCTGCCTGTCTGCCTGCCTGTTTCAAATCTAATGGACTGCATTTATTCAGAATTGCACGTGGTAGCATTTTCTACTTTAAAACAATTTGGACATTGCTTCTCTGAAGACCTTAATGTAAATCTCAAAACTGTACTCAAGCCTTATCTGTTTCAACTGTTCTAATCTGTATATTTAAAAATTTTTTTAAAGTGCTTCCCCCCCATATTTGACAGTTAGCTCTATCTATCAATAAAAAACTATGGTTGGTCATACTATCCTGGTTTATTTTTACTTTCTTTTCTTCATCTAGGTTAGTTTTGACTCTTGCCCTTCTCTAGTTATACTGTTGATACTGAGATTACAGGCATGAGCCACAGCATCTAGCTCAACATTCTTTATTATATATAATGTAACAATAGATACATTATATATAATGTGGGAACCTCTTGTGGCTACATGCTTTCCCTGCTTATTTTCTGAAACTGCAATTGTTTTGTAAAAAGTATTTATGCTGTGTGTGTGTGTGTGTGTGTGTGTGTGTCTGTGTGTGTATGTGTGTGTGTTTATTAAAGTGAAATGAGTAAGGAGGCAGGAATAAAATGGCAAAAGCGGTTTGAGTTCACATTTTTGGACATTTTGTTTCTGCTGTTGCTTGTAGTGGAAAGCTAATACTCAACAACTTCCTCCCTGACATTTAAATGTGCTTTTAATATTTTGTTTTCCTTTGTTTGTGTCTTAAAAAAAAAAAAAAAACGAATCATGCAGCAGAACCAACAGTATGGATATTTAATTCTGGGATGTCTGAGAGTTCTTCAAGAAACTTGAGTGTTTAACACAGATATTTCTTTCATATATATAAATATTGCTAGTAAGCCACAGATCAAAATTATATGTGATTTTACATCAATGCTATCTATACTTCTCTCCAAAGCTGATGCCTTTTTTTGTGTGTATAAAAGGGAATCCTTTTTTCCACTTCTAAGACAATGTCCATGGAACTTCCTTTATGAAATAAAAGACTAAGTTAGTATTTCTTGCTCTTCTCTCAAACTCAGGGAAACTTTCCTGAATTCCAAAGGAGATGTTCCAACTGGTATTCTCATTCCAAAAACATTCTGCTAGTATGTTGTTTATAAAACTCTGATCCAGACCCAGACTCCCTTAGTGAGATGGGACTCTCCAAGAACTGTAAAGTGTAGGGAGAAATACATGCTATCCAGTGGGAAGGTAAAGAATCTCCCATTTTCATTATTTGGCACATACAAAACAGCAGGCTTTATGGCTGTAAAAATCAGTAGTCCTTGGGTTTACTTAAATTTTCCATATCGTCCTTGTTCTAGAGTCCTAGCCCAGGATGCTCTGCAGGCAGGAGTATGGAAATGGGCTCCAGACCTATCAGGGAAGCAGAAGAGCAGAACTTACCCTGTGCCTGTGGTGCTTGTTGGAGCTCTCTGTTGTCCAGGAGACCAGCAGCCCAGAAAGAGACCCAAGTCTCCGTGGAAACGTCAACACTAGATTCTGACGTTGTAGTGGAATACGGGCAATTATAGCTCTGGCCTCCTACAAAGTACTGGTCTTGGCAAGGCAGAATGGTGTTCTGTGAAATTCAGTATGGGGGGGAGTGAGGGGTCCCAGGAGATGGGGTGATGGAGATTTAGAAGGGAAAAAGGGTAGGAGAAATACCGATATTACATGCAGTGAATTATAAAGAAAAAAAATCAGTAAAGGTATTTAAATATAGATCCATATTCATTTGGGGATGGCCAAATTATAATTACTAAAAGAGAATGTGTTTCTTGATTTACCTGGAATTTCCCTTAAGCCCTCTGAGCAAAGAATAGACTAGTATTGAATGGGTGAAATTTGTACATATACAGGTTGTATTCTCTGTTGCAATGCCTAGCTCATCTAAAGCGCTACCCAAGATCTAATAAAGAGAATTCTACTTAATGATTCAAAAATGTAAGAATTATTTGGTTCTCTCTAGCAAATACCTTAATTATATTTCTAAAACTCCTGAAGGACAAAGAGCGCAGAACGCTAAAGCTGAAATGGATATGACATAATATAGACTAACCTCTTCATTTTAGTTTCTGAACCATACTTGCCTCATTCTTGCCTTTCTCCTCCCTCTGACATGCTGCTGGCTTATAGTCTGTCTATCTATCTATCTGAGATAATTTTACAATTTTGCTCCCAACCCTAATCACGGGAGCATAAAAATCACTCCAAGTAAACATATAATCAAAGCTGAAAGAAGTTCATTGACAAAGACAGCAAGCTGTAGTTCTGTCCACTACTAGGAATCAATGCCCCTCCAAAGTTATCTTGCCACTAACTGGCGTGTATTCTCCACTGTTTCTCATCCAGCGAACACCCCTCCACTTCTCTAACCTCAAACACACATTCTTTCCAAATGTCCGAACAGGGGCAGGTGTGCAGCCTTCCTGGGTTAATTTGTACAACACCAATTTTAAATTACTTGTCAATGTTTAATCAGGTAAAAGCCATTCATTTTAGCAAGTCGCAGCTTTGGGAAAACTCTTTTTGAATACTACAGTCTTTTGTTGATTTGAAGACTTCTTTGGGCATTAACATAAACAGAGGCAAAACAAATAAGGAGGAGAAAAAGAAAAAAAAAGTTAAGTCAATTCAACCACACTTTGTTAATGTTCTCAGTAAATTCAGTTTTGAAAAATTCCAGTTCTGAAGCAAGTCTAGCTTGGGCAGTGCCGACCAAAGAAATTCAGCCAAAAGTTTATCAAGCACAATTTTCTTTTATTTTAAAAGCATGTTTGCAGACTCCTTCCCCGAGGTTCTTATTGGAATCAGAACTAAGCTATTATGCAATTGATACCTGAGAAGGAAACAAACCCCAAATACTCCTAGACAAGTTCATGTCCAAGTGTTTCCAAATATATACATAATCTAGAGGAAGAGGTAGAATGAACAGTGAGTGCAGGTGGAGGGAGAAACTGGGGATAAAGTAAGAAAAGTAGAAATAACAGAGGGAGACAGAGAGAAGGAGAGAGAGAGAGAAAGCAGATAGAGAGAGAGCAGATAGCAAGGGAGAGAAAGGAGAGGGAGGGAGGGAGGGAAGGAGGTAGGGGGAGAGAAAGAGAGAGAAAGCAGAAAGAGAGAGCAGATAGAGAATGCAGATAGAGGAAGCAGATAAAGGATAGAGGATTCTAAAAGAGAGACAGGGCAACAGAGAGGATCTGTTTAATTGCAGGTAGCAGAAAAACCTTGCTCCCAAGGTGTAATAAATTCCAAATGCAAAGCTTAATAACTTTCAGAGACCCAAGTTTTGCCAGCGGACTAGCTAACGCCAGTTCCTCACTTACCATCTTGCAGTGGAAGAAAGCGCTGCAGAAACTGAGCCCACTCAAATTTTCAGTAAAACCAGTGGGAGCTTTAAATGAGACTGAGGGGAGGAGCTAGGGGAGGCGAGTTCTAATCTGCCGGAGCCCCGGTGACGCCCTCGCTCCGGGAGCGCCGCGCTCTGATTGGGTGAGAGGCTGTCAAACTGGTGACGCGCGCCAGGCCTCACCCAGCAGAAGGCAAAGTCACCGAGCGCTGGGCGAGCGCCGCGCCGGGACCAGACACCTGCCGATCGGACCGCCGGCCGCGGGACAAAGGCAGGACCTGCGGGCATCCGTCTCCAGGCGCGCGGCGCTGCTTCGAATCCCGCCCCGGTGTGGCCTCGCGGCGGGCGGGGAGACGCGCGGCCGAGGCTGGCGGCGAACCTGCAGCCGGGACGGACGCGAGGGCCGGGCTCCCTCCCGCTCCACGCGCAGCGCCGGGCCGGGCCGGGCAGGGCGGGACGTTGGTCCTGGTGCCTGGACGCAGGGTAAGAAAAGTCCAAACCTGCATCGCAGGCATCAGGGCAGCCTTTCGGGAAGCCCTAATAGCTGGCCCCAGCGTTAGTATGGGTCCTGTGTACTTTTTTTTTTTTTTTCCTGGCTACTCGAAAGCAAATTAATATTAACTTGCTGTATGACGCTGTCAGTTGACTTTTTTATAAAGTTTCTATGGGGTGTGTCTTATTTTCTCCAATTTCTGAAGCGTTAAATGTGGAGGTGATATATATCCATTCCGGAATGCAAGCTTCACTAGAACAGCAATTCCTATTTGGTTCCCTGCTGTCTCCAAAATACCAGGAACGTTTTCTGACAAGCAATAAGTGCTCAACAAAGATTTATAAAAATAATTAATTAAGCTACAAATTTAGGAATCCAAGTGTCTTTCTGTATGGTACCTATCTTCACATTATAATAAATGATTATCATTAAGAAAACTTGGTGTATGTTAATATCTTTCAATTAAAGAATTTGATTTCCTCTGTCTTTTCTCTCACCTTTTATTCTGACAGTTCCTATTATGTTATATCTAGAGGAGAAAGAGGAGTAGCACCTTCTTTAAAACCACTGAGCCACCACTAACAACCAACTTTTATTTCAACTTACTAACATGAGAGATATAAAGCAATTGAGGTTAACCCCAGGCGGTAGGTTGTCTTATTGTCTGGTTTAACAGGTTGACCAATGAAGCACTAATATTAAGAAATTTCACCAATGACTATACAATTAAGAAGTAGCAGACTTAGGATCTGAACCCAAGCTGGCTGAAGCATCCATGCTCCTAACTCCATGAATGTGGTATCTGACTCGCCTTGGCTTATTTCCACTGCACATTACACACATTTATGTAATGGTTATTGTTATGGATGGGTTGTGTTTCCCAAAATTCATATGTTGAAACCGTAACCCCAAAGTTACTGTATTTGGAAATAAGGTGTTTAAAGAGGTAATTAAGTTTTATAGAAAGTCAGAAGGGTGAGACCCTAATCCAATTAGGCTGGCCCCCTTATCAGGGACACTAGGATTGGCACACACAAAGTAAAGACCGTATGGGGGCCCAGTAAGAAGGCACCTGTCCAGTCCCCAAGCCAAGAGGAGAAGCTTCAGGAGAAACCAACAACCCTGCCAACACCATGATCCTAAAATTTCAGCCTCAAGATATTTTTTGGGAAAAAAAAAATAATTCTGTTGTTTAAGCCATTTTGTTATGGTAACCCTAGCAAAGTAACACCAGGCAGGGGGTAGGAATTAAGGGAACTTCTGATTCTGTCCTGCACAGCTCTATCTCTAAAATAGTTTTGACTGTTATTTATTCTTCCTTGTACTGTACTCATGACCCACAGCACTTAGCAAGTTGACTAGCACACGGCAGATGCTTATTAAGTGCTCTGTGTCCAAGTTTAAGAAAAGAATAGACAAGGAAGGCAAACAAGGTGCCAGACTTGTTGGGACCCATTCCTCCTGTTCCAATACTGTTTATTTGCAAGCATTTTTAAGTGAACAGTACCAGGTTTGGGTGTCACTGCCTCAAAGATAGGTGAACTGACTCATCTCATTTCAGAGAGTGACATGAAAGAGTGGTCCCCTCTCTGCCCTCACTGCACACTGGGCAAGGATGCCCTGACATCAGAAGAGGAAACAATCAAAACCCACAAAGCTGTCACAAATGAGACATGAGCCTCTGAGATATATAACTTCCTGGGTCTGAAAATGATTCAAAATGGGCAAATGAGCAAACACAATATGAAAACAAAAACCATAGGCTTTCCATCCATATATACCTGGATTCCAATTTCTTCTCTCCTCTCTGAAATTGAATCACTTAGACTTATATTATCAAAGACTCTAAATCCTCAGTTAACTCATCTGGTAAATTAGGAATGCAATACTTATCTGAAAGGTTTGTTAAAAAGCTGACCATTAATGCTTATAAAATTACAATTTTACTGTCTAAATCATGAATAGTAGCTATTCTTACTATTATGTATAGGGAATTCTCCCTTTAATCATATACATATTGCTGTGCTTTTTTGTTGTTAAAAGTAACTATAAATGAAAGCTACATTTGTAAAATAATGGTTTTTTTTTTAGGGCTGCACATATTTTTTAAAAGTCTTTGATGACCTTTAAGCACACAAGTGTTTTACAAATCATTAACTACTTTAGCTTAGCAGTAGTGGGAGTATAGATAGTGAGTGATTCAGAAACTCTAAAGTTAAACAGTGAAGAACTATTGACAATTGAACATAAATCAAAGATAAAGCTTTCTTAAAACCATAACAGATGAAAAATATCTTAAATTCTTAAGGTCTGATTTATGTACATCGTTTTACCTAAGATGTACTGCTTAAGTATAACTTTATTATTATTGGCTTGACAATTTTTTTTGAAAAGGGCATCAAGTAAACAATAATGTGAGATCTTCTGGCAGTTCTGTTTTCAAATGTATGGATGAAGTGCATCTTTCTTTGTGTGTAGCTGTAACTCATGCAGATGATTTTCTTCTATGAACAACAAGATCAGGTAAATACTGCTTTTGTATTATGTCTCAAGGGATGGTGTTAAAGGGGAGGTGACTAATAACAACCCAGTTGTTGAGTCATAGTACTATACCCTGCCAGGGCAAAAATATTTTTTAAAATAGGAGGTAATTTGACCTGCACACAAACCAAGTCTGCAGACAGGAAAAGGTAGAGTGTGATCAGAGGTAGACTGAAGAGATAAATAGATTGGCATATGGACCGTTCTTTCATTTCACCCCTGGAGGACACTTTATTTGACTACCCCATTAGTGGAGTCGATAACATATATAGTAAAGAACAATTTTTAATTTCTCTTTACAAACATAGCTTTTTCTCATAGCTTCAACAGCTGAACCTCCAGGCCAAAACAAAACAAAACAAAACGGTATTTCTGTTTTACTGGTAGGTAAAGAAAAATGTATCCATAGAGAAAATTCAGTGCCATAGATGATTTTCATTGGAAGATTTAGCATTTGCACTGTTTAGCATATCTGGAGAACCATAACAGATTCAGTTTGTTGAGCCATAGTTCTTAATTGTACCCCACCAAAGTGATGTGCAGAAATCAGTCATGTTGATATTGATAAGAGACTTGCCTACTACCTGCTACTACCTACAGGTACCATAGCTTTCTGGTAGCCATCATATATGTAATAACTTACGCAGTGGTGAAAAACTGGTTCTACATGAAGAAAATGTGTGGAAAAGAAAGTCAACTGTTAATTCTGGCCATAGAAAAAGTCAAGAAAATTATATTAGGTTATTATCCAGGAAAGAGAAAGACCTTAGGTAACGTAAGAAGTGAAATGTTCCATTTGGGCATAATTCAGATTAGCTCTATATGGAAATGTGATGTGTGTATGTGGAGATTTATAATACTGTTTTATTGGCTGTTTCATCACAATGTATTTTAATAGCTTTAAAACTATCTTTAGTCCTTTATTTATTGACTCATTAAGTGATTGCTTAATTTTTTCAGTTAAATGTTATTACATTTTATTAAGAAAAATTACATATTATAGTGATAGTCACAAATTTCAAGATTCTTAGTCTAAGGGCATATATTTTAAATATCAGCTATCTACTTTACCTGGAAAATGGATACAGATCTATATTGATTGTGCAAAGTAAGCAAACCTTTACTGTAGTTGGTAGCATTGCTTTATGACTTTTCTCATAACACTTCAAAATAAGATTTACAGGCAAGCTGGGGTAAATAATTGAGGATTTTCCTGCCTGTTGGCAACCATGTGTGAATCCCCTAAGTCTTACAAGGCCAGCCCCAAGGTCAGGGAGAAATAGAATCTCAAAGGCCTGTAATCTGTTGTGCCTTGCTGCATGAGTTGGGAAGCTGTTCTCTGTATAACCTATCTGGCCAATTTGGAAGAAAATAATCTCAATACTACTATGAAAGTACATACAAAGCAGTAAAATTGAGTTTGTATTGCCAAAAGGTTAGAGTTGTAGAAACTGAAATAAAACAAAACAAATACAGTTCTACTTCTGTCACTTTATCCCAACTGCATAAAAAATAAAAATGGTTTATTGTCCTAGAACACAATTGGAAAAAAACTCAAATTGCATATTACAGAATTGCATATTTAAAAACATTTTTATTAGCAGTTATTCTTGTGTATTATTTAGTATCAATTTATATCTCAATATGTATAAATATATGTGCTTATATATTTGCATGTATACATAGGCACGTATATAAAATAATCTGTGAAGTCCACTGCCTTGAAATACTTGCAGATGAAAATGTGCAGATGTTAGGAAACAAAGACTACTCTCCACCCCCAATGTTTCTATAAAGGGGCAACAATTCCTAGGAGGAGATTTGTTTGATTGGTGAGATTGAAAGAAGAAAAGGGACAATTTGTTTTCCATTTAAATGTAATTGTCTACATGGCACATGCTTTCTCTGCTTCTCCTGAGAAAAGCTTACAGAGTAGGCTCTGTTCCAACTGGAGTGGTGTGTGGCCACCCAGTGTCACCATGATAAAGTGAGCAAATCTATTTCTACTCAGAAATGCAC